CAATATTGTCTTTCACCATGCTTTTATTTTTTTTACTAGCAGTTTTCTTTCTTTGCATCTGAGAGCATTAGAGCTATGGTGGGTGCAAAACCAGCAAGGAAGGAGCTGGGCAGAGAGCAGCTGGGAGCAGGACATGTCAGCTCCTGCACTGCAGTCTAACCCGAGCCCAAGGATGCCGTGAATTGGAGTGTCAGTAACCTTGTTTCTGCTTCAGCTTCCCCAGGAGTGAGGAGGCTGCAGCCATCGCTCCCCAAGCTGCTTTCTTGCTTTCCATGTCACTTTCCTGTACCTAAGGCCGTGGAGATATGTGCCAGGGCTTGGTTGGCTGGAAACCCCCCAGCGTCTCCCCAGTGCTGGAGGGTAACAGCAGCTCTGATGCTGGTGCTCTTACTTCATCCCCAGGTACCACCCACACCAAAAGCCACACCACTTGCTTGCTCAGAAGAAAACTAAGGGACATGGGGTAACACTTCCCTCAGTACAGCTCTTTTGGGGTACAGGAGATGCTGGAACGTGGCAGTGTAGCCCCACGGCCTGAGCTGGCTGCTAGCTGAAGCCCCGAGGCAGGAACAGAAGGGTGCAGCAGATATTTAGTGTTTGGGTGATGTGTGATGGCACAGAACTGCATGAATGCCTGGGGAGAACAGAGGGGGTCTGCAGCAATGCTTTCCTGGAGCATGCATTGCTCGGATTTGCTAGAGAAATGCAGCAGCCAGGACATCCCATGCTACCTGGGGGCCAGAGAACAGCCCCAGCTCAACCTGGTGACAGACAGCTCAGATGGGAATCTGGTGCCTTGCAGAAGCTGCAAGCAGCTTCATGTGCATGTCATGTTTTACTGTCTTGTCCACTGTGATGTGAATCTCTCCCCAAATCTGCATGTAAAAAATCCTACCACCAAATTATTAGCTATTAATTGTTTGCTGGATTCAAGAGAGAATGGCCATACTGTGCCACAGCATTTATAAATGAGACCCAAAAGGAGCAGAATGGCCTTTTGTTTCCCTCTGCAGAATTATATGCATGACCCACTTTTTCCTAACACAGCAGTGATGGGAGAGACATGGCATTGTTTGTTCAGCACAAATGGGGAGGGAGGGCTCTACTTTGCTATGTATGAGTTGAATTGAAGAGTAAGAGGCAGAAGGGATGCTCAAATCTGTTGCTACAGATAGGATTTGCACACATGTGCAGCCACATGTAATATTTCCTGAAGTGTTCAGGGCCAAAGCCAGACTCCAGTTTCCATTTCAAACACCTCCTGCTGTGTGCTGGGTGCCCTGTGTGCCACATGGGCTGGCTCACCCTGCTGGGCCAGGATGCTCCCCGTGAGTCCCAGCACCCACTCCTCCTGGCCAACAAAGGCAGCCAAGCATCAGGGCAGGCTGCCCATGGGACAGCTTTGGGTGGCTCACTGTCATGGTACTGCCTACATCAGGGGGCCCAGGGGGGTGTCCCCAGCCCTGGGGGTGTCCCAGAACCATGGAGATGTGGCACTGAGGGACACGGTCGCTGGGTTTGGTGGGCTGGGGATCACAGTGGTCTTTTCCAACCTCAGTGATTCTACGATTCTATGATTTCTTGATTTACTATGTTCCCGAAGCCCAGGGAATAGACAGAGGGTGCCTGCATTGCTGCCAGCTGTGTGCTCACACTCAGAACAGAGAGAACAGCATCCAGGCTGCACACCAGCAAGGCAGCGGAAATCAGCTGCTCTGAGTGGCCGAGCACAAAGCACAGCAAGGCAATGGTCTGCTGCCTCAGCAATAGGGGCAATAAGGAGCACTACATGATCACATTAGCTTGGATATGAGGAGGAAGTTTTTCAGCCAGAGGTGGTGAGGCACTGGAACAGGTTGCCCAAGGAGGCTGTGGATGCCCCATCCCTGCAGGCATTCAAGGCCAGGCTGGATGTGGCTCTGGGCAGCCTGGGCTGCTGGTTGGCGACCTGCACACAGCAGGGGGTTGGGACTGGATGAGCACTGTGGGCCTTTGCAACCCAGGCCATTCTGTCATTCTATGATATGAAGATCATTGAAGAAGTCCAACCATCAACCTAACATCACCACTGAACACATCTTCTCTGAAAGGGTGGGCAGGCACTGGAATGGGCTGCAAAGGGAGCTGTGGAGTCACCGACACTGGAGGTGTTTAAGGAACATTTGGATGTTGTGTTGAGGGACATGGATTAGTGAGAGCTGCTGGTGATGGGTGGATGGTCGGACTGGGTGATCTTGTGGGTCTTTTCCAACCTCGGTGATTCTGTGGTTCTGTAGCAGTGTCCCTATGTGCACATCCACCTGTTCCTTCAACACCTTGCTTTACCTTATCTGTAGAATTTTGCTACTCAGTTTGGCACGTGAAATTATGAGAGCGACGAAAGAGGGACAGAACCACCCTGGTATAAAGAACTGGTCCAGTAACCCATCAGTGAGAAGTGAGTATCGCTTATTCCATCAGCTAAAATCACCCCTGAGTTTCACACAGAACTGAGTTTTTGGATATCTTTTGGATATTTGAGTTTACTCGAGACCCTAATGCTAAAAAGAATTTAAAATGTTTTGCTGGGGTGTCTTGACTCCTTCATTTATTACATTTTATTATGTGGGAACTCAAGTATTTGATCATTGTTTAGTTACTATTCATTAAATACTAAGCCATCTTATCTGAGAGCCCTGCAGTCAAGAATTACTCATAAGCAGTTATCAAAAGATCAAATCCAGCCTACGTCTTATGAGCTTACTGGGCAAAAACCCGTTCCTGATTTTGCAGATGCAAATGTGTGACAATGCAGGCTGTGAGCTTCCTTATAACTGCTTATACACTTATACACTCATAACTGCTATCACAGGTAGTTAGGACTGGAATGCAATTTCTGCAGTACATTTCTATCACTACTGCAGTAAAGAAAATTAGATGCCATTTCTCTATTGGGAAAGCAGCATGAGCTTTTTTTTTTTTTTTACCTGACTGCATGAATAATTCCCTTGGTGTAATATAACAACCTCTGCTCTCTTTCTTATTTGAGGATTTTCTTCTTGTTTTTTCCTAAAACGTTTAGAACATAATTTTCTTTCACTTCCTCAGTATTTATTTCTCCGGGGCTCAGAAGATGCAGCAGTAATTTGAATCAAGATCTCTTCATTTCTTTAAGCATTCAATAATTTTACTCCGCTCTTATACATCCCTGACATTCAAAAAGCAGAAAGCTGTTAGCAACTGTATCATCCCACTTTAATTTACAGACAAACAGAAACACAGAGCACCGTAGGAAGTGGACCCACGTTACCAAGTAGGTGAGCTGCAAAGTCAGCAGTGGCACCTGGACCTTCTGCACACTACAGTTAGTTCTGTGAGGTCATGTTTCTGATGCTCTGATATAAATTTTCCCTTCGTTATATACCTCTTGAACATGAGAAATACCACTTCTGGACCAAGAGCAAAGCAGGCACATCTGCTGAAGTCAACAGGGTCCTTTTGCAGACACTAATATTATTCCTTATGCAGAACAGGGAACATGATTTGGAGCTGCAGATACTTAAGTACATCGTGAGCTTTGTAATTATTTCAGCCAACAGAACCAAACACCCATCGGGGCAACTTACATTCCCATCCTCACCATGAGACACCCAAAAATACATGAAAAATAGAGTTTTCAGTAATTCCTTCAGAAAAACAAAGAAGAAAGTGCTTATACCAGAGAGGTGAAGTTGCAAAATGATCTAAAAGGCCTAAGGCTGGTGTGAAGAGCACCAGGCCAGGGGAAGGAAAGCAGGCAGCTGGCGAGACCTCACTCATCCCTTTCACAGTGCCACCATTTTCACAGCACAGTGAGTCCTTTGGAAACTGCAACTTTCTACTATGGATCAACAGCAAAGTTAGAGAGCGTTGTTATCAGCAATACGTCTCAGTGCTGCACTCAGCAGCTAAAAGCTTCTCTGAACAGTACAAATGCAAAGTCAAGCACCAAGTGCAGAATTTTTCCTGCAGCACGGGGCTGTTCTGCAAACCAAAGCCCAAAGCCCAACTCTAATGCTGCCTCGTGCCAAGCCGCTGAAATAAAGAACTGGGCGCCAGCTACCATTGCTATCTCCAGAACCTTTACTGAAGTTTTACAGATTTGTGGCTAACTCATTTTTGGAATAGGTTTTGGAAAAAGCCCTGAAGATTAATTCCAGCCAAAGGTTGCCTGTTTGACTATAAGCAGGTTCCCATTACCCTGACACTGAAGAACATTGCAGGATGAAGAGGCAGACATGCTGAGTGAAATGTCTTTGCTTTGCTAAAGGTGAAAAGTAAAGTTCTGGCCACACAGGAGTGAATGCATATTTTATATTGACTTAAATGCAGCTAGACTTGCCTTCCTGCTGAACGTGAGGAGGGCACTTCCTAAGCTTCTTCCTGAAATGGAAATGCTCTCCTTGTGTCCCCAGGGACAGTATTCCCTCTGGAAAACGCTCAGGACACGCAGGTGGTGAGCAGGTTGTGCAGTAAATCAGGGAGATCTTGGCGTCTGGACAAGGAGCTGCGAGATCTGGTTTAGTGCTTGTGGTAGCAGTGGGAGTGTGAAGACGGTTGGATTAGATGATCTTATAGGTCGTTTCAAACCTTGTGATTCTATGGTTCTATGAGAAAAGGAAGTTAATTGCTCGGACTTTATCTGGACAATCCATGCAAAATATATAGATTCCAGCTGTGGAAATTGGAGAGATAGAAGCAGACGTCCAAATGCAATCTTTATGCTGTATATACGATGCAGATGGAGGAAACAGCATAGGATGGGACACATACACATCACTTCAACATCTGCACTGCTATTCTTGTGTTGTATCGTGCTCCTAAGTGCTGTGATAACGAACAAATGCCAACACACACAAGCATAACCCTCCGTGAAGCAGCAGGGTAGGGCATCTGCACTGTGACTGCTAGGAGAAGCCCACGCGTGTTTCGTTGGTGCTGTCACGAGTGCCAGTTTAGGGCCGTGGAAACAAATCTCGGTTCTACAGCTGCCACGGGACCAGAAGGGGAGAAAGCGGCACGGGTAGGGCCGGCAGCGCCGGCAGCCTCGTCAAGAACGCGGAGCCTTTTCTTTTCGTTTGACGTGCTTTTATTGTCTCTCCCAGCAGCAGGCCGGGAGGCAGATGTCGGCCCCCAGCAGCGGAGGCTGCTCTGCTGGCAGCGGATGCCGGCCTAGCGCCGCCGTCGGGGCCGCCTCTTGCGGGGCGGGGGCGAATCCTGGGGGCCGCTGCGGGTCTTCCTCTTCGGGGCGCGCCGGGGCCCCCACACGAGCGCTCTCCGCTCCGGGCGGAAGGGCCCGCTGCCGCCGCCCGCCCCGGCTCTTCCCGCGGCTCCTCCGCCGCGGCGGCGGCGCCGGGGTGCCCGGGTCCCCCGGCGGAGCTGCCGAGCGGCTCCTCGGCGCCGGAGGCGGGAGGGTCCCGGCGGGAGGCGCCGACGCTGGGGCCGGCTGCAGGGTCCCGCCGGTCCGGCTGGCGGCGGATCCGGGGGCCGTACAGGGCTGCGGCGACGCCGACGAGGCGCCGTACGAAGGGCGTCGCGTCGCCGTCGGTGATGGGCTGCAGCTCCCGCACCAAGGCCGCCCGGTCGAGCCCGTGCTGGCAGAGGAGGCTGACGGTGGCCCACAGCCCCGCCTGCACTTCCCACCAGTCGTCGCTCGACATTTCCCGGATCTCTTGCTGCAGCCAGTGCAGCAGGGGTGCGAGGTCCTCGGGATGCCGGTCGAAAAACGCGGCCCAGACCTCGGCTGGGAAGTCGTGCTCGGCTGCGATGAGCACCGGCTCTGCAGGCCCCTGCTCGTCCTGCGGGCCGCCGTCTGAGTGTCCCGCGGGCTGCGGGACGGAGCACTCGAGATAATCGTCGTCCGCCCGCACCGAGTAGCGGATGCCGATGATTTTGTGCCCGCACACGGCACAGCTCGGCTTCTTCTCGGCCCACCAGACGGCGCAGCCGTAGCAGAGCCGGTGTTGGCAGGGGGTCACGTAGGCCACGTCCTCCCGAGCTTGCCCGCAGACGGGGCAGGTCCAGTCGGATGGCACGTCCATGGCCCCGGGCTCTGCGGTGGGCTGGGGAGAGCTGAGGTCGGGAAGCTGCTCCCCTCACTGGTGCTGCGGCAGCAGAAGGTGTCCCAAACTGCAAAAGAGAAAGAGAGGCCACGGTCGCTTGCTGCCCCAGGCCAGGCAGCAGTGATGCCCCAGTTCCTCGGCAAGAAACCCTCCCGGTCCCCGTTCCCCACCAGCTGCCGTGTCCTGCACCTCTCACCTCTGCTGCTGTGAGTGCACCTCACACAGACCCAGCTGCCTGAGCCAGGCAGGGCTGTGGGAAACGCTGGTGATGCTGTGGGATGGGCGGCAAGAACTGCTGCCAGTAGCCCCACAGCACGACACAACCAATTCGTTCAGTGCTCCAGGTCTTGCAGCTGTGCTCAGCTGGAGCCCAGACACGAGTGCACACTGGCCTCTGCTGGCACCCAAATCCATACAGCAAGGGCTGTTGAGGTCACAGTCATCTCTCATTGACATCACACCCCTCGGTCGGTGACCTCACAGTCCATCACTGCATGTACTGGGGCACCAGCCTGGGCCTCCGTCACCCTCCATCATTCCATGATTTTCCTTTGTAATGGTGATGTACTTGGAGAAATAAAGATTGTACATGTTTCTACTGCACATGTACCTTGTAACCAACTTGTCATTAGATGGTGCCACAAGGTGATGTGACAAAGCTAGGCAGGTTAACGTGCAGCAATGGATGCCGTTGCGGTTGGCTGAGGACCAGCTCCTCAAAGCCCCTGCCTGCCCGCCCTGTGTGGATGATGGGCTGCCTGCCCCGTTTGCAGAGCGGGCGCTGGGGCCAACTGCAGTCCACCGCTGGATGCAGAGGAAACAAAACTGGTGGCAGCATGGCACGGCGTATGCCACGCTGTCCCAGTTCTCCTGGCATATGGGGCAGCGGGTGCCTAAAGCCGCTTCCACGCTTCCACCAGTTGCAGTGGGCGTGGGGGAGTGGGAGATGACAATTAGCTCCCCAGCACTGATGCTGTGGCAGCAGGTGTCACGTTGGAATAGAACAAGAGACCCCCCGGGCATAGGCCGACCTGTGGAGGGTTCCTCAAGAAGCACCCCCAGCTGGCAGCGGGAGGCATTGCCTACCTGCACTGCTGCACGCGGCTCTGCGCAATGTCCCGTCTGCCTGCTCCCAGCAGGGTCCGGGTAAAGCACAAGTGGCTCTGAGACGGCCGCTGAGAGCTGCGCTAGCAGCACCCAGAGCACGTGCCAGCTCCAAACTCGCCCTGTCCACACTCCAGTCCTCGCACACACACTCGGTCGGAGGCCAGGCACGAACTGATCGGCTGGGCTGCCGCTCCCGCGTTAAAGCAGGCTGGGCTGGGCAGTCACAATTTATCACACAGACACGTCACAAACGAGGGCTTGGCCGTGGTGCCGGTCCTCACCTTCCCTCAGGGTCATCACCACGGTGATGCCGCCATCCACTGCTTGGTCATCACAATGAGCTGGCCTCGCCTGCTGCGCGTGTGCCAGCAGCACTCAAGCCCAGCACGCGTCTCTGGGCTTTCCCCAGCACCTCTGCTTGTTCCGTTCCTCCCCACATCTCACGTGCTTGGCACCAGTGTTTCACACCAATCACCAGCGCCTGGGACATGTCTTCTCATGGGCCCCATCGGGTTGCTCAGGCCATGGCACACAGCCCCAGGCATGTACAACAAGAAGGTTTATTCAATAAAAGGTCACACCTCCCTCTGTCTTGGACTAGATGATTGTAGAGGTCTTTTCCAGCCCTAATGATTCTATGATTCTATGCTACCACATCCAAGGTCACTGCTGAGTGAACGTTTCACTTCAGTAGAGCATAAGGTCGTGCTGGTGTCCCCGATGTTGACAGCCCTCCTTCATTTAAGCGCTTATTTTTTTGTGTTCAATCTTAAGTGGGCAGCAGTCTGCTCTCCTGAAAAACCAGCAACTGCAGAAACAGCCTATGGCTGGTAATTGGCTTAAGCAGGGTAGCAGGCCTACAGTGTTTACCTAACACTGGGATTGCCATCCTGATCCTGCTCAGTTTGTGAAATTAAAAATAATGAAATAAAAGCCTTGCATCTTAATGTGTAACTTCTGATCTTTTGCTGTTCAGCTGATATTGCCATGTCCCCACTGAGTGGATGGTGGTGAAGACTTTCAAGTATATCATCCCCTTTTCAATTAACCGGATGGGGAAAAGAAGAAAAAATAATTGTTCCTTTTCAAAGCTACATGTGCTTTAAATTTTAAGATGTGCATTTTTAAGCAGGTTATATTTAAGTGTAAGTTTATTATAATTTATTGTGCTCCTGTGTGTTTTGTTTGTAAGGCATTGCTTTAATACTTTAAAGCCTTGGTGTCTTAAGATTTCATACAGTTTTCAGTGAGAAATAAGTATTCTAAGAGGAAGATCAGAGAAGTACAGTAGGAGATAGGTGATTGGTAGAAGTAACTGAAACCAAGGGGTGAAATCTGAAAGGCTCTTCAGAAGCACTGGCATGTTACTTCAAAGTTTCTAGTCCCCAAAGACAAAAACACACAAGTCCAGACTGACATTGCTAGACAGCTGCAGCAACTGAAACTGTGCTCTTGAACATCACGGGTGCTTTAAAACAAACCACTGCTTTGGCAGATCTTTCACTGAGGGATCCCTCCATGAATTCTCGAATAAAGATCAACTGACATGAAGATTTGGGCATGGGAAATCTCTTTGAGAATTTGTTGAGATAACACATCTAGATCCTAAGCTGTCCCGCCTTCTCTACGGAGCTCAAGGCAGCTGCTCATTTTGGAGAAGCTGCGGGTGAAGGAAGAAGTGTAAGGTAGCTTGAGTGGGAATCAAGTCTGACATCTGAGCTGTCTGTAGGAGGGTGCTTCCAATCGTGGGAAGGGTCTGAGTTGCGTTCACCATCATGGCGGATCTCAGCTCAGCTACTTATGCAGAGCTGTCTGGTACCACCTAGGACATTGCAAGATATCCCAGACAGCTCTACCATATGGTAGGAGCAGATTATTTGTGCTTCTTGATCTCTCCAGCCTTTGGTTTTGGACTTTTCCCTTCAGAAGCCACGTCACTCTGAGTGCCTGAGGATGGGATGAATTGTTCTCTATAGGCGTTTCCTTTCACTGATGAAGAGAAGTGAAATTCTCACGTAAAAATGTCTGTGGCAGACCTGAGTCCTCCTTGACCAGCAGTTGAACTAGGTTATTTCAAATACTACTAGACTCCATGTGTGGTGGTTTCACACTGATGGACAACTAAAATCCAGCACGCAATTCTTCCACCCATCCTCCTCAAAGGAATGGGGAAAATATGATGGGAAATAGTTTGTGGACTGATAAAAAGATGAGGAGACCACGCATGATGGAAAAAAGACTCTCAGTACAGGGAAAATAATGAAATATTTTGCCTATTTCTAGCGGACTTGAGCAGTTCGAAACTCAAAGCAAACCACAGTCACCTTGCTCCCCACCCATTCTCTTGTTTTAGATCTCGATATTCCCTCACACCCTCATAAACCAAGCAGAGCTTGTCCCTCGCTCAGATTATGACAAGAATGGACCTATCCTCACCATGAAACCCTATAGACTACTATATTATACCATAGCACTTCTAAATTATCTCAGTTCCACAGTCAGGCTGCCATCTCCATGCTGCCATTTCAGCAGTAGAAGCCATCACACCCACAACCCAAGGTTGTGCCCTGAAGCCTCTTCTTTTTCTGCCATAAATATGCCCCATAGTCCAGCTGTGATCTGTATCATCCCACCTGCTCATAGCTCTGCCCCTTGTTCAAGGGTGCATTTTACCTTAGAGTTTCTGACACATGCTGGAGAGCAGTAAATGTATCTGTTTTCTTTTTATGTGTTCTGCTGTAAGAGAAAATAAAGTTGTAAAGCTGCCACAGCATGCTGAAGGAGCGTGTCAATAGCTGGCTCATTTTCAGCAAAACTCGTGTCCTGGTATGCAATTAAAGAAAAAGATGACTGTGTTCCAAATGTAACATTTTTTTTAGAATTTCATAAGCAGCCTCAATTGCCATGACAGTCATAAAATTTACTTGCCTTATTCTGATATTCCAGTATTTCACTCCACAATAAATTCCTTAGTTATTTTACTTTCATCCTGTCCAAGTGACTTCCACTGAACAGTTCAGCTGTGTCTGTCCATAAACTGGAAATGCTCTTTCCTTCAAAACACTTCAACATAGCTGGTATTAAATAGTGAGGAATATGCTCTGATTTCAGTGGGATTCTTCACATGCTTAAAACTGTGAGTGTGCTGAAAGGCTTTGTTGAAAACAGGACAAAACATCTGTGGCTGCCATTCCATATGTTGTCAGGGCCGTATTTTACCTGTTTACACTTCACGCATCATTTTATCCCCGCCTTGCTGTTCACCATCAAGTTATAATATTGATATGTATGAACTATATAAAATTGTCAAATTATACAAGCCTGCTATATCCCACTTGAGAAAGTATACCGCCAAAAAAACACTGATTCAAAAGAGACAATTCCTAGTCTTCTCCTAATAGCTCTGGACATCACTCATAAGTGCATGAATAAATAAGCAACACCTCTCTCCAAGTTCTCATATGCACTCGGCAACTTAAAAATCAACCTTTACTTCTTTACGCTGAGAAGATGAAGCATTTCTCTCTGAAGAGCATATATTCATAGAACCATAGAATGTTTCTCGTTGGAAAAGAACTTCAAGATCGAGAGTCATTAAAGATCGAGTCAAGTCAAGGGGTGCTGTTGGCAAGGGTGGATAGTGATAGGACAAGGGGGAATGGTTTTGAAGTGAGACAGGGGAGGTTTAGGTTGGATATGAGGAGGAAGTTTTTCAGCCAGAGGGTGGTGAGGCACTGGAACAGGTTGCCCAAGGAGGCTGTGGATGCCCCATCCCTGCAGGCATTCAAGGCCAGGCTGGATGTGGCTCTGGGCAGCCTGGGCTGCTGGTTGGCGACCTGCACACAGCAGGGGGTTGGAACTGGATGAGCACTGTGGGCCTTTGCAACCCAGGCCGTTCTGTGATTTTACGAATTTTTAAGGCACACTCACTGTGCTGATGCTGTGCATCACAAACCGCACAGAAACCTCCTGTTCTCGCTAGGGTGAGGCAGTGCTGGGGGGCACATGGCCATGCGGGGAATGCAGACATCCTCAGAGGAGGAGGAGGAAGAGGGCTGTGTGTCCACTTCCCAGGAACAGCCAACATGTGGCGTGCTTTAATGAAGAGCTGCAGTGAGACCCAGCTGGGCATGTGGCAGGTGGGGGCAGCCTGCTGGGTTCCTGTGCTGCAGGCGATGCCATTTCCACTCATCTGAAGACCTTCCCTGGGCAAAAGAGAGCAGAGATCAGACTGTGACTGCGAGGAGGGAGCCTGATTTTGGGGACAGTGATCACAAATGTGAGAATTCCTTTATTCATACGGGGGTGGAGGCTTGGGGTGGCTGGTTGCTATGCGGGCAGCCTGGGGGGCTGCAGGAGGTTCACCCTGGGAAGCAGGGAGCAGGGAGCCAGGGCTGCAGCCTGGCAGTACTGGGGTAACCAAGGGCAGCAATGGGGTGGGGGAAGTGCAGACCATATGGGGACCATGGGAGCCAGTCATACATTTCCAAGTAAAACCACTCCATTGCAACACCATGAGAGAACAGATGAGTTTCAGCTAAAGAGGGTGGGAATGCATTAGAAGGATGTATGAACACGTCAGAAGGAAAAGAAAGAGGAAAGGGGTGACTCAGAGAAAGCCTAGGCTGTGTTCACAAGAAGGTTCTTTGTGATGGGCTCATTCATTTTAACTGAATCATGGAATCATAGAGTCACAGAACAGTTTCAGTTGGAAGGGACCCCAAGGATCATGAAGCTCCAACCCCCCTGCCACAGGCAGGGCCACCAACCTCCACATTTCACAGCAGCCCAGGCTGCCCAGGCTGCCCATCCAACCTGGCCTTGAACACCTCCAGGGATGGACGGGGCATCCACAGCCTCTCTGGGCAGCTGTTCCAGCACCTCACCACTCTCAGAGCAACAACTTCCCCCTCACATCCAACTGAAATCTGCCCTCCCTCAACTTCAAACCATTTCCCCTTGTCCTGCTGTTATCTCCCCTTTCAAAGAGTTGATTCCCCTCCTGTTTGCAGGCTCCCTTTAGGTACTGAAGGCTGCAATGATCTCACCCTGCAGTCTTCTTTTCTCCAGGCTGAACAAGCCCAGCTCCCTCAGCCTGTCTTCGTAGCAGAGGTGCTGCAGCCCTCTGATCATCTTTGT